ACATTTTTGCCATCAGTGGAAAACATGACATGATCAGAGTTTCACTACCTCAAACATTTTCACTACCTTAACAAACTTTATGCCACTTTTCTACAGACTTGTGGTTTAAATATTCATGCCTTTTACCATTCTGTATAATTCACATGTTTTTGAGAAGCTGTCTCTATTTGTTTATCAAATTTTTTTTAGCTTCAGGGTGACTCGCTCAACGATTCCAGAGGCGTTTGTCTCCGAAGATCATCGTTCACCAGAAGTAAGTCATTCATTAACGAGTTGTAAGAACATGATTCCATAATCTGCATTTCAGAGGATAATTATTTCAGATGTATGTTGTAAACTTTTGCCTTTGTGTTTGGAAGATTACACATTCATGATTATTTTTTTTCCACACAGGACAAAGTGCAAGATATCCATCAAAACTTCTGTGGAGGCGCCATCGAGGAGATGAGACCCTGAAAAATAGAGGCAGAAAAGTAAGAACTGGGAACATTGTGTTGTTCTGACAAGACAGAAGTCATACCAAGTTTCAGCTTTGAGCCAATTGTACTGTTATATTAGGTAGATGCAAATGAAACGGGAAGGTAGAATGCCAGTGGAAGAACATTTCTGAAGGGCTGACTAGCTTCCTTGTCTTTCAGGTTAACTCTACAGCGACATCTAAGTACAGTGGATAAAACTGTGTCATCCAAACAGAGATGCAGTCCATGAATACAACCCTCAGCAAATAAAAATGAGATGAATCGACCGAAAGGAACAGGAGCATCAAGAAATACAGCATGGACCTGGTGAAGGTGCTGCTGATTTATTACCTTTGTTACTGAATGTGACACAAAGACGTTTTTGGTTGTGTTGAATATTTGCATCAATTTGACAATATCATTTGTCAAATTGATGTTTTTTTTATTTTGTGTACTTGTGTTTTTGCAGAGTGCTTAAATTCACACCAGGGTTAAACAAAGAGTGTGCAGAATAATATATGTCCTGAGTACAAAACTAAGAACAACAAAACTTCAAATTATGTGTACTTGCTCTTGACCAGGTGATCAGTCCTTTACTACTCCTGGGGGGGAGTAAGTTGATATTCATGTTCTTGCAGACTCACTGAAGGCTCTTGAAATAGCGACGCAGAAACGTTTAGAAGTTCAAATGATTGCTCAAATATTGATGATTGTGTAAATCATTCAGCCCACAAAGAACGCCTGCTGCAGAACCCTGTTTTCGTAGAGTGCACTCAACCAATCGGGGCGCCCTGGAAATACATTTGTGTCGATGCTGTCCGCCTGGCTGTGGTGAGCTGGTTCCCCCGGCTGACTGAGGAGCTCTCTGAGAGAAACATGTTTCACCACTCTTTTCCCTCTTGCCATGGACAATGTACCCGTCACTCTGTGACTTGATGCAATGTGAGAGCTTTGGGGAGGCTTGCTCCTGGTGGTGGTTGGGTCTCTGTGTGGCCTTCAGCTCGTGTGTATGTGCACTGCTGAACCGTAGCTCCCTCATTACTAAATAAAGAGAATCACTCTCCTTTTTAACAGCGCTTTATATAGAACAGTTGGAATATTCCCAATACTTATAACCTTCCCTCCCGTGCTTCTCTTGAAGGACTTTAAAAGGACAAATAAACTCTGAGGTCAGTTTAACATTGTGCATAAGAGACACTAAACCTCAGGAAGCTCATCGCAAAAACCCTCCATTCACCATTTTACTGAAGTACAAAGACATTTTTAGCAAAATACTATTTTACATTATTACACAACATTTCCCATGTTAATGTTATATATTATACTGCTTACATTATATATATTATTATATCCTATGCTATGGTTTTAGGTGATTTTATAAATCAATGTTCATTATATTTTCTAAAATAATTATACACTTTAAAATATAAAGCAAAAATACCTCAGAACTGCAATTCAGTGCTGAAATTAATTTATAGTGTGATAAAATCATATTCATCATAGTTCTTATCAAACAAGTGACACCAAAAATACTAAATAAATTAAATACGTCATAATCATTTAATTTTACAGATATTACAACAATTAATTTCTGCTTCTATTATTATTTGATGTTATGGAAAGCCCCGGCCTACATCCTCTGTCTCAGCAGCATCATTAATATTCATAAAATATTCATCACTCTTCTTTGCTTCATATTAATTTAAAGTAAACTCTCTCAGGTAGAGTCAGGGTCATGTGACTCTTAGTCGGTTTCCTTGTACATCAAACTATGACCAGCTGCGCAGATCAGAAGCTCAACGCTATTTTCTTAATGAAATAACAGGGTTTCAAGTGGCCTTAGTTTCTTTTGGTCCCGTTCATGGATTTTACATAAATGTGGCCGACATCACCACTCCCCCAAAGTGAAGCCAAAACATTTTGATGCCCCCCTGGTGGCTGGCTGCTGTATGGGCCATTAACCTTGTCTCCACCAGGTTAACAGATGGGTCATGGACAAAACTAAAAAGTTCATCTGTCGTTTGTTGTTTGTCATTTTTCCGTTCATTTTGATGCTATAAAAGCAGCATGATGCTTGTATCGATGGTAACTCGATACTGCGGCTCCACACCACAATCACTACTGTGCACACCCTGACTCCAATGGACCTTAAAAGAACAAGATGGCGGCACCGACAGTTCATACAGGATATTTAGGCTCCACTTTTGAACAACGGGAGGAAGTAGAGACACGTCGTCCATCTTTAAATGCCGCCTATGGTCCCATTGTACAGCTTTTGAGTTATAGAGAATATTATCACGGCTACCAGTTCAAAGAAGAATCCCCTCAAAGCAATCAAACCTGACCTTCTATTCACCCACTCGCTGATGGGATCCAGCAGGTATCATTTCAGAATTGAACTGTGTCAAACATCTCATGACACGCGTTCGAATCTTCCCTCATTGACCAGCATCATGTAAACATACATCTCTTTAGATGAGTAAAAAAGGCTGTGCCCGTCCTGGAGCCTACTGGTGTTTAGAGAAGCTTGATAAATATCTTTTTATGTTCCTCCCCCTTGATCTGTACACACACAGACACGCTCGCTCAGCACTGGCTGCCCCCGCTGCTCCTCCATTGTGTTCCTGGTCGATTAGCCTCGGGGCTGTCTTCGGGGCCTGGGGCCAGTGGGAGCAGGAGAGGGGTAGGGCGGGTGGCTGCGTCTGCTAGGGGACCTGCTTCTGGGGCCCCACTGTGGCCCGGCTTAGTTTTCATGTCTGTCTTCAAAGCACAGCCCTGTGGAGGGAGGGAGGGAGGGAGGGAGGGAGAGTGGGGCAGACAGTTCATCGACGGTGATGCTGCCGCTATTATTTCCCAGTGTGCCCTCAGTCAGTGCAGAGTATCTGGGGTGACGGAGCATGTCAACACCAAGCTGCTTGTCACGGCCCTGGTGATACGTACACAGCAGTCAGTAGAAAATGATGATATATTTCATTGGCAGCATGATTATTATTCATAAAGTGTAAATTATTCATCTTTTGGTTTAATGTTAACAAAAAGAAAACATGGTGAGGTAGATTTAAGGGGTTGTGTGTCCACAGTTAATGTTGCGGCCACATCAGTCAGCAAAATGATACTCTATGTTACATTTCTGTGGTTGACTTTATTTTGAATTGCTCTGAAGAATTGTTCCAACCTTTTCTAAATCCATAGGTTAATCACATGTTACATCTTATTTCCACCTACTGGAATATTTATTTCCCTGCCCACATATTGACTTTAACATATATAAAGTGAGCGTTGGCTAAGATGTGTTAATGAACATGAATGTGGATTGGATGATGCAGCGTCCCTCCCGTGCAGGACGGTGCAGCCTCCTCTTGTAGCTCCTCTCCTCTTCTCTCCTCTCGGGGTCCTCTGGGTGCTCCTGCCGTCACAGGAGTTTAACGTCAGACTGTTGCAGGGCCGTCAGAGACCCACTCACCTTGACAAGTTCAACTTGGAAATGAAAATAACCAAATCCACACAGTCAGGATGACAGACATGTCGTCCACCTGGGATTTATTCTGTCTCTTTCTCTTTCCTTTATTTCTTTTCATCCTTTCCTTTCACATTTTCCACGGATTCCCTCTCTTTTACCCATCTCCCATTAAACTTTCCTCTCTCGCTTTTTCTAGTCTTCAACTCTCTGTAACAATCCTATCCTTCCCTTTTTTCTTACACTACATCTACATTTTCTTGGAGAGGATTATGATGTTCAGCAGACTGCATGGTGATTATATGCTCATATACTCTGATCTGAGTATGTGTGCAGACCTGCACCTGACCAGCTAAGTGCTTTGTGGAATGAAAAAAAAAAAATCACGCCACAGTGAGTTATTTCTGGCTGGGCTAATCTTATTTCTCTGGGCACTTTGATAATGGAGAGGACTTGAATAATGAATGGGGTGTATAATACTTCTTCTTCCTCAGGCCGGCTGAATGAATTAAGCAAGTGGTTGTGTTAGAGTCTCTAACATTATGCACGGTGCCCCCTCCCTCCTGTCCGTTCACTTCCTCACTCTTGTTTTGGTCTTTTTTGGATTTAGAGCATATTTACACACTCGAGCAGAATTTAGTGGAGAAAAAAAAGGAGGAGTAAAGTGCTTGAATGCTGTTAAAGCTGAAATACAGACAACACAATTACTCCTCTCATCCCTCACCATGGCTAGAGGAGGATCTCCCTCCCTGCTCACATCTCTGTGTGTGTGTCTCTACATAATGCATGGTGTGTTGGTTAGCAGACGGTTCGGCCTCACACACAGACTTTGAGACTCTAAATGTTTCTCTGACGCAGGAGTTCTCTCTGCACTCGCTGCGATATCAGATTAATAATCTTGTGTGAATGGGGTCCGTTGATATTTCATAATGTATGAGAACATTTTTAAATCCATAATTAATTTATTTGGATGTTTGCTGACAACTACAATTTGCTTTGAATTGATTTAGTAACATCGATCAGCACATGCGATTATTTGTGACACTGAGATTAGATCTAATCTAATTTGTCTATTAAATGATTGATCATTTAGCATTTGCAAATGAAAAGTATCGTTAAAAATACACCTCACAAAGTGATGCTCTCATGACCAACAGCTACAAATTCAACTTTGGGAACACTTGGGAAATGAAAAATTGCTCAAATTAATCAACTGTCAGAATTATTAGGGATACATTTTCTGTTATTCTATTTATTTAATAATTATGTCCCCATAATGCACCACTGTACCGGTATTCAGGTCCTTGAATAGAAGTAATCCCACTCTGTAAATCTGTGAAGTATAATCAGCCTTATACTGCCTCCCTGAAGTAGAAATATATTTTTCTTAAGATTAAAATACTTCAAAATAGAGAACAGGCTATAACTAACTGTCACTCGCATCACATTATTATTATCTACATTATTATTATTACTACATCCACTTAAAATTCTTATTTTTCCTCCATCTGAGTAAAGACAAATAATGTGGATTTAAACACTGAGGTGTTGAGTACAGAGACGTCAACAGGAGACACAGGTGGACAGCATCTCCTGCTTAAAGACATCCATCACCCTGGCCTCAAGTTTCCAGAGAGTAACACAATCTGTGTGTGTGTGTGTGTGTGTGTGTGTGTGTGTGTGTCCACAGGTATGTGTGGGTAGAGCTCCTGAGCTTCTGATGATAATAGAAGGTGACTAACAGAGAGCTGTCTTCCTTCGCTCTGGTCACATTCTCATTTGTTGCTACTGGCATCTGATGAATTATTGAGTTTGGGATGTCTTGTCTTGGAGGTGGACCGTGTGTGTGTGTGTGTGTGTGTGTGTTTGAGTGTGTGTGTGTGTGTGTGTGTGTGTGTGAGTGAGTGTGTGTTTCAGTGTGTGTGTGAGTGTGTGTGTGTGTGTGTTTGAGTGTGTGTGTGTGTGTGTGTGTGTGTGTGTGTGTGTGTATTCTTCAACAATTAAACAGATCTTTCATCCTCATTCTGTCAAAAAAGCTCTTTCCTACATGGAGACATCTCAAGCAAACACACTTGTCTCTCCCCTTCTCTTTTCCCACATCTGGATCTCTCAAACATCAGTCTCAGCCCCTGATCCTCTTCATCCAGACTTTATTTTCACCATTAATCAGTGTGCTCGGGGTTTTCATATTTACAGACGGTGCATAAATTGGCCTGTGGAGCCAACACGTCTCCATTATTGCATGAGAAACTGCAATATAGCTTGAGCTGCTGCTGAATAATTGAGGTGCCCTCAGTTCGCCACATGCTGCTCACAAGCCTTCAGCTCAACTTACCACACAGCCAGTGCGTTATGATATCCATACAAAGATCAATTATTCACACGCTCCTGTTTGTTCTAACCTCACGTTCAAAGGATAATAAGGATAATACGTTTTAATTATTATTCTCACATTTGTCATTTAAATCATGACCATGAAGGTTTTCTGTGTTTATTCGCCCTCCCCTCACAGAGTCATAAATAACAACTATCACCTATAGGCTGGAATTAGATCAAAGAGAATATTAATAAGTGCCACGAACGTTTCCTGCGCAATTTGCGTAAGGATCGAACCCCCGGCTGAAACAACCCACCGACACTCTCACTGGGAAAACCACACAGCCCGCGGTCATGCTGACTGTGGGAGGAACCGAGTGGAAGCTTTTCATTATTTTGTGTTCATCTATTTTAGTTATTTCATTTATATATTTATACATATTTATTCACGCAGCTCTGCTGTCCACTGCAAAAAAAACCCACTGCAAGATTATCCGTCTCTATGGTTTTACTATTTACAGGTTAAAATAAAATGAAGATTGTTTTTTCTGCTTTTTAAACAACATTTCTCCTAATTTACAGATTAAACAGACACAGGATTTAGATGGCTGCCACACATGTAGATGTGCAGATTTAATAGAACTTCAGTGGTGTCTGGCCTAATTCTACTCCAAGAATATT